AGGAGTAAGGGAGGTATTTATTCGATTCTCTCAACTGGTGTAGCACTGTGGCAAGGCGGGCTATTCAAACAGATACCAATGATATCAGTTGTTTAGTCATTTTCTGATAATGATGTGTTGGGGGTGTATGACACGTCATCGCTTCATACCGTAGTATATTATGTGAATGTACACTATATCTGTGGACACAAAACAGGCCCATGTAACGGTGCAATCTGGCGGTCTCAATGTTTATCATCATTAACCCCGAGATGTGTTGTTTATATTTATCAGTTTTTCTCTTTTTGCTTTCAACAATTTATTTCGAAACGTATTATCTTAATATTCTGAGACTCGTCAGTCATATTATTTCTTATAATTATTGTGTATATGTTTAAATGTCCACATTCATACATTCAATATTGATCATGTTGCAGAGTTCGGCGCCGGTGCCAAGGGAGGCCGACGCCTAAAGTTTCAATATTCATGCCAGGCCGACATGCGATATTTCTTCCACATAGTTCTTAACTGTCGTAACGCGACGCTGATATGCTAATCGAGCTGTCGGTCAGCCTAAATTTAACACAGTTCGCTTAGAAATAGAACTACTAACATAGTGACAAGTTTCATTTACAAGAAATGATGAGCGTTAACGCATTTTGGCGATTGTTGCATGTTTCATCAGCTGTCATCAGAGATCAGTTTAGCAAATGAAACATCTGGCCCCAAGTTGTATTCATCACACTGATCCATTATAAGCTCTAATATCTAGCATGTTTTCACAGGAGACGCACGCCCTGACCCGGGAATTAATCAGCCACTTTTTCATCGTGTTTGACGCACATAACTCACATGCTTGATAAAGAAGGTAGCATCAGCCCATAGTACCGATACAGATAAACAAGATGTCATTCATACGTATACACATTGAAATCACCTCTGTGCACGAGCCTACTATTACCACACAACCCAAAGAACAAATCGATAAAAACCTTTCGATAATCATAATAATCAATTGTAGCATTCCGCCTATATCATGAGCATGTTTTTATGAATAACCATCGACAAGGGATGGCACCAGGTGTTGCACGAGATTGCTTTTACCACAAAACACAATCTACGAACACACTTGTATGCACGAAAACGCTTTAAACATCAAACACAATCACATTACCATCAAACATTAACCAGAACACTCATGTAGGCACCAGAACGCTAATACCATCACAAATTAACCATAAACACTACTGTATGTATGAGAACGCGTGAGATAAATACTTCTGGTTGAGGACAATATAGTATATTCTCTCTTAATTACATGGGTGATGCGTTCCACTGATTCTTTTTGCGTCCATGTTTTACGAAATAACGAAAGCAGTCATATTCGTATATTTGTTATGGAAAACCTAATGTGTACAACTGATTAATTCCAACAAGACATGATTCCCAAGGGAACTTGCTTAATATGCAGTTTAAACCATGTTAATATACTCTTTACTAATGTTCAATTGTACATATCTTTTATACGTTATGTAAATAATGCACCTCTGCTGCCGAAGATTACGGCATTGATCTTGTAAATCTTAGCTCATAGATGCAAGACACTGGACATCCAATCTGCCTTCAGAAAGACATGGCTATGTGTCACGTGACGCGGCGTATTGGCGAGGGGAGTAAAGAATAGATAACGTCTCCCGGTACAGTGTACTTAATGCTTTGCTCCAGATTATCGCCCACTCTGCGACGCAGGTAAAGATGAACCATGTGTACGAACATCCTGTGCCTCGTGTTGTTACGCTGCTTGTGATTGGGTGACGTTTATGTCAGATTACAACAATCATTAGCAAATAAACTTGCACGACCACCATCCATTACCAGCATGTCGAGATAGCATAACTCTTAGGGTTATCACAAGAGCACAAAGACTGCACTATTGTCAAAGAGAGCATATCAGTGGAAATCTTGGTTGTTACATAATTATGATAACGCACTCTGACACTGTCGTATAGACAGAAAGGTATGCGGTTCTTCACATATGTAAAACATCCATATTCAGTAAAACATGTTCATATTGTAACATACAGTGAAATATGTCCGTGTTCTCACATAAGTAAAAAGACCAGAGACCAGAGGAGATCTGGGGTAGAATAGGTCTATAGCCACCCATGCTTGCTGTAAAAAGCTACTGTGCATGTCGTAAGAGGCGACCACAGGGATCGGGTGGTCAGGCTCGCTGACTTGCTTGATGCCTGTCATCGTATCCCAATTGTGTGGATCGATGCTCATGATGTCAATCACTGGATTGTCTTGTCCAGACTCGATTATTTACAGACCGCCGTCACATAGCTGGAATATTGCTGAGTGCGGCGTTAAACAACAATCAAACAAATAAACAAAACATAAGTAAAAAGTGTAAATATTCTCAGTCACACCACGGACCTATATACAAGTCCGTGGTCACACCAAACATGACTGTCCATATTGTCACATTAGTAAAACATGTCCCTATTCTCACGTTTAGTAAAACATTTCCATTTTCTCATGATCAGTAAAACATGTATCCATTTTCACATACAGTAAACCGTACACATTCTCACATTCAGTAAAACACTAACATATTCGACATATTGTAAGGCAAAAACGTATCCATACTACTGTAAAACATTATGTAGTCTAATAAATTTAAGTGACAAAACCATTTCCAAAATTGCAAACACACTAAAATATTTAAATGGTTTAACATTCAGTAAAACACATTAAGTTTTTAACATAGTGAAACACGTATATATTTGCACATTCAGTATGTTATACATATTTATTGTTCACACACAACAAAACAATGTCATTTCCTTACATACGGTAAGTAATGTTATATATCCACACATTTAAATACATACAGTAAACTACGGTTATAACGAACTCAAAGGGACTACTAATTTTAGTTCGTTATAACCGTAGTTCGCTATAAGCACATAAACAGCATAACTACAGCAAGTCGTCGGGACCAAAAACGTTCGTTATATCCGTCAGTTCGTAATAAGCGTGTTCGTTATAACCGTAGTTTACTGTAGTTACACATCCGTACACACAGGAGTGGACGTGCGTACCACGTCTCTGTTATACCAACATTTTGTACTGCGTTTTACAATTGCGAGAGTAAACTTAAAGACAATTGGAAAATCCTATACAATAAATGAGTATGAAAACTATCTTTTTACTTTTAACTGTTCGCTACCAAACTGGGGAAGTGCGTATTATCACTAACATATATTTTTTTCAACACGAGTGTGTTATCTTCAACGCGAGAGATTCCTACGTCGCACAGAGAGGTTCTGAATGGAGAACAATTGGCGGGAACTGTTATCATGCTTTTGGCGCCACTATGTGTGTTCACGGTCAGCTTGACCTCGTATATTTGTACTACGGTATGACGTAAGGCAGTTTGGCGTCTTCAGCAAACCGCTTACATACATCAGACATACATAAACAAAGCCAACGACTAGGTCCATAATATTGTTGTATTTTTCAGTTGTTACAAAATTGTTAATTCAACTCAATAATAATAATAATTATTTTTCTACAGCGCCAAAGTCCACATCACTGACTGACAACTTCAATACGCATATATTTTAAAGGTCGAATGCGTAATGCAGAACTCGTGACAGCGAGCCGTGTGCAACGTCGGTGCCGTGTGCAGCGTCACTATCGATATATAGCCCGAGTCAGCCTGACCTGCTTCAGTATCGCTGTTGAAGTTGTGTTGAGAAGAAAAAAAGCGTTTCTACCAGCCTCACTACATTATCATCATGTCCAGTCCCCAAGGTAGGCGTGTCTCGATATTGTTGTCCCTGCAGCCATCAGACAGTCACCGCTGTTCATGTGTTTAGCAGCCATGTTCAGGTAGACATTGGGTTAGCGTGACGTGTGTAAATGTTGGTTATATGTAACCATGTTAGGGGCTAGTATTCCTTATGCTACACTCGGGATCGAGGAGAAATATGATTTGCCACTGTATGAATGTTGACCGACTTTTTTGTGATAGCCGCAGCCTCCGAACATTCATGCAGTCGAGGGGTGTTGTTCATGTGATGGAGGCTTTGTTTTCTGTGGTACATGCACGGCATTGTGTCACGATGTGTCATCAGATCGACATTGTATTTACGTAGATGTGTATAAACAGGACATATTTCATTGCTCCAAATACCCAAGCCATTATAACATTAACAACACCTTCCTTTGTGTCGGACGTAAAGAAGATCTTCGAACGCTTTAGGGATCTTAAAGTGATATACTGGAGTTGGTTACAAGTTGCAAGAATGGTGTGAGAGAAAGAGAGAGGTGTGTGGGGTTGGGTGTGTGTGTGTGTGTGTGTGTGGTGGTAGGGGGGTGGGGGGGGGCGGGGGGGGTGGGGGGGGGGGGGGGGGGTTGGGCTGACGGCATTGAAGATGACCTTACCTATCTCTTAGCAGAGATCGTTTGGCCGTGGAACGGTTTTTTTTCATTTTTTCGCATTTATTTATCGTACTCTTAATTACGACCATTTGAGGGTATCGCAATTTACATATTCTCCTGGGTGCATCTCGCATTTAAAGGCTAAACCACTTATGACATTTTCCTTAAGGTAACATTAGAGGCGCAGTCTTGCGAGAACAAGCTGTTGCTGGCATACTGCCAGGTGTCTGTAATAGAATGTAACCAATCAAGCTCGTACACCGTGAGGATTATTAATAGATAGCAGCTACTGGTGTGTATACATTTAAAGTACAGTTTGAAATGTATTCATGATATATTAATAATTGTATAAGGTTATTATTCATGAAGCATTTGCTATGATATAATTTTCACGCTGAGGTAAATATCTCATAACGCCTATCAAAGTTTTGTATCTGTCGATGAACAACGTGTTGTCATATGGTCTAACTGTTCCTATGATTGTAACACATCAAGCCATATCATATTTCAGAATACAGGCCACGTTGCATCAAATAAGTTATTACCATGAATATTAAAATTGTAATATATATTACGTTATATATATGACGTTTCCAGGAGCAGCATGCACAGCTGAGTGCAAGACCGACCCATGCGCGTGCGGTACCGACTGCAAGTGTAACCCGGACGATTGTGCGTGCGACACGTGCAAGGTCAAGAAAACGTGCAAGTGTTCAGGTAAACACAAAAAACAGGATATGTATGTTGCACAATAAAAGCGACAAAACCCTTTCCACGATCAATAGGTATCTTTCATAAAGTCAAATAGTAGGTCTTCAGCAACGGTTACCCATGCTTGTCATAAAAAGGTGACTATGCTTGTCGTAAGAGGCGACTAACGGGGTCGGGTGGTAAGGCTCGCTGACTTGGTTGATGCATGTCACCTCATCCCAATTGCATGGATCAATGCTTATGACGTCAATCACTTAATTGCTTGGTCCAGCCTTTTTTATGTAAATCTTGCTAGGGTCCATGCAGGTAGCAAAGGTACTGTAAATCCCCATGGTCCCTAGTATGGTGATCTACTTCAGTTGCTGGCGATCTCTGGCCCGTTTTTATAATGTAATGTTATGTATAGTGCTATTGATTTTATATTACATTCTAGTTTTAAATAAATTTCTGTGATAAGTCTAGTTATTTTACTGTCCTTCGTTGGCAGGTTTTTATGTAAGTCCCTATGTATTTATATCTTTAACCCTTAATAGTCACGATATGGCTGAAATATTGCCGATGTGACTTTAAATTCTAACTCACTCACTCACTCGCTATTCGGCGTTCGGCGTTAAACAACCAACCAACCAACAATACTTGTTGACTATGTTCCCGTGGCGGCAACATATCGTGCAAAACACCATTCACCTATTGGCGCTTTTAGGAAAATATATATTATATTAATTTTAATATCACTGCTTCGCCGTTGTGTTACAGTGAGTTCATCCTTCTTGCTATCCACATTTCAGGTTCTTGCGCGTGTGGCAAAGGATGCACCAGTGGCGAGACATGCAAGTGTGATGACTCCTGCACGTGCAAATAGCCAAGCCTCAAGTAAATGCGCTCACGTGACTTCCGATGACAGGAAGACAGCATGAGAGGGACCAACTCTATTTTTTGTCGCACTGTTACCTGCCGCTGGCATGAGATGGATGTGGAGTGATATGGTGAAACCAACGTTCCAAGGTTGACAATTTGCAGAGACGCGCGGGAGGAGAACATTTCCACACAGCATATTCAAATCCCTTCAAGCACATTAAAGCTGGCTTTATATTGTTTTTGTGTTTTGTACATTTCATCTAGTGATCCTGCTGAATTTTGTTGCATAAATATCAAACTACTTTGGATTGAATATGTTAACGTTGTTAAAGAAATTGGGCGAAATCGATTAAGTCTTTGGTTCATTTGGGAAAGGGTATTCACTCTAAATTATTCACGAAATGTTTTGAAATTCGTATTTGCGAATAAATGCGTAAGTCGGGTTGCATGTTGTCGTTGGTCAACATTATACGTTGTAGCAGTAACGGGTTATGTGGGAATCCGCTCAGAAATTCACATGCAGACTGTTTTAATTTTAGCGGGGCATCCCCAGTCATTAATTTAGGAGGGGCGGTCGGGTAGCCCAGTGGTTAAAGCGTTCGCTCGTCACGCCGAAGATCCGGGTTCGAATATATCCCGACATGGGTACAAAGTGTGAAGCCCATTTCTGGTGTCCCCCGCCGTGATATTGCTGGAATATTGCTAAAAGCGGCGTAAAACCAAACTCACTCACTCACTTATTAATTTAGGGTATTTTATGAAGATCACGTGAACCAATCAGATATCAATATTCTAAGATGGAAGTAAGATAAATTTACTCGCCTTCTAATCTCTGAGGTAAACAGTTCATCGAATGTTTAACTATATGTCTATTTTCATCTCTCCATCCTTAACTTGTAGCATAATAAAAACGGTTTTGCCAATGAAATTGAAATCTAGAGGTTTTTAGGTTTCATAAAATGTGGGCCCACCTTTTTTTACTGAAAAATAAATGGCTGCTTATGGGCCCACATTTCAGAAAGTAAATCTATTTCACGGAAGCTGAATGTTATGCGTACCTCACGGCTTCGTGCTGATAAACATTTTGCAAAATGTGGCCCCACGTTTTCCAGCCAAACATAATGATGGAAACAGGTGGAACCACATTTGCAAACCGCGAACCACGTCATACAATTATTATCAGCACAAAGCCAATCAAATGATTTGTTTTATTTGTTCGGCGTTAAACAACAAACAAACAAAACAAATCATTTGATGGGCTTTGTGCTGATAATAATTGTATTACATGTGGTCCCATTTTTTCTCCGTCAAAGAGATCTACTTCGATAGTGAATACAACAGATGGGTCGACATTTGCAACTCGCGAATCTTCACTGCATACACATTGGTCCTGACCTCAGCTGCTTGGTCACAGCGACATATATTATTCAAATCTTTGAAAGTCATTTAGAAGTGATACACATATATGAGGAAGAGAATTTATGGATGTCAACTTCTTTGGTTATGAGGAACCCAAAATACTTACTCCATCAGGTATCCGTAAATTCTTTTCCTTATATATTATTCGCTTGTTGCTGTGAAAATGAGCTACATACGATAATGGGCTAATAATAGCTACACACAGTCTAAATCAACACATTGTCAGTGTCAAAGGTGTGCAGAAATAGTTGCAAAGCAAGAACATTCTTCAATTCAAATGTGGGGGCACGGCTGGCCCAGTCGTCTAAGGCGCCGTAATTCGCTGTGCAGAGTTGCGTCCCTTGGGCACGCCAGAAACCTATGATCGTGGGTTCGAATCCCGGTTCGCCCCGATTATGTTTCTAGGTTTGTCAGCACCATACCCGTGCTCGTGGGTTTCACCGAAGTGGTAAATGCCAGACCTGCATCATTTCGGGCATTCCTCCCACATTAAGCTGACACGCCGTGATATAACTGGAATACTGTTAAAAGCGGCGTTAAACCCAACTCACTCACTCAATTCAAATGTCGAGGAGCGAAAGCACATCCATATAATCTGTTAACGGCACAATGGACAGGACAAGTTTGTCAACATTTGAAATGAGACAAGCCTATTTGTATTTCGGGAGTTCGACAGTAAAAAAGAACTGAGTATTAATGAGCCTTTGTTGTGTTTTTGCAATGTTCGCAGTAGTGAATTCTTCTGAAGTGTCTACGCATTTGTAGATTTCAATTCAATTAAAACTCAGAAAACTTAGTTTATATGTCAAAACAGAAAATTGTAATACGGTTTAGTTGTGTATATTCTCTGTTACGAGCGCGTTCAGTTTCAAATGTAGGCCAACCTCCCACTTTCGATTAAGCAAGCAGAGTTAGCTCCCTTCTCCCACCAATTCGTCACTGCTCACATCTTTCCAAAACCTTCAAGAACGCTCGCTCACCTTTTTTATTGCGTTTCACGACGCGTAAAACGGCATACAACCTGATTAAGTTAATGGAACATGACGGAACTAGTCATGAGTTTCATAAGATTGGTATTACACGGGAGCGAGCTTAGTATTTTATGTATTGCTTGCCGTTTGTGGGGTGTAAATGTTTTTTCAATGTCACTGTCGCGTGTGAATTGGCAGACATCTAAGCGACCAACAGCTTACTCCAATCGGCGTTAAGCAGCAAACACTCACTCTCTCAGTGTTGAGATGATACAGTGATAATGGCATAGTGTTATATAAGCATGAATCTGTTACACCTGTGAGATAACACCTGTTACTTGTTACCTGGATGTTAGTGAGTGAGTGAGTGAGTTGGGTTTAACGCCGCTTTTAACAGTATTCCAGTTATATCTCGGCGTGTCAGCTTAATATCGGAGGAAAGCCCCAAGTGATGCAGGTCTCAGACGTGTACCACTTCGGTGAAACCCACGAGCACGGGTCTGGTGCTGACAAACCTAGAAACATAATCGGGGCGAACCGGGATTCGAACCCACAATCATAGGTGATGATACATGATACAGTGACGCGCACACATAGAGACTGTGCAAGATAACTGAACCATCGATAACGCTCTGATTGGTCGGATGTAAGGTCCTTCTGACGTGACCCCAAATGGGATGTCCTCGGATTTTTGTTTAGCGGTAGCGAGGACTGAGATCTGATTTTAAAGAGACTGCATTACACCTATATTATATCCCCGAACAGACTTGGCACAGCAGGCTTTAAAACGGTGTTGAAACATTATCAGATTCAATGTTTAAAGTTACTTACCTCAATTGCATATTTGTATATTTGTCAAGACATTTGAAGTGGCCTCGCACAATTGTTTTTCACATCAATTATTATTAACCGGAGAATATGTTAAAATATCACAAAGTGATTGATTATGTAAATGTTATTATGGTTATATTGAGGATGAATATAACTTCGTACTAATTTGCGCTGCATATAAACAGTTACGTACAAAATATATACATGCATTTTATATCCTATATCCAAATAAGAATACATTTTATTATTAATGGTCACATAATTTTTTCTATTAATGGCCACAAGAAGTATTGGTACTCAAGATCTAGCTATAATACCGTTTGATAAAGCATTAATATATATTTAATCATCATAAACGTCGTCGTTGTCCTAACCAACATCTTCAACCCCCGAACGAAAAAAGCACTTACGGCAATAGGGGTATGCGCTCTCTGTTGTGAGGCTGATCCAGCAGTGGTCACTGCGTGTCCGCTTATTGGAGGCCCTGAGACTACGCAAACACAACTTTTGTTTGTCCATGTGCCTGCATATACCTTCCCCCAACAACGACTTGGATGATGCATGTCATCGTAACCCAGTCTGTAAATAATCGAGTCAGGACCAGATAATCCAGTGATTGATATCATGAGAATATATTCACGCAAATGGGATACGATGACATGCATCAGCTTAGTCAGATGTGAATATGTTGATCACAATCTTGTTTGTTTCTTTGTTGTTTAACGCCGCTCTCAGCAATATTTCCAGCTATTTTTCAGATCTGTAAATAATCGGGTCTGGACCAGACAATCCAGTGAATTAGAATACGATGACAAGTCAGCGAGCCTGACCACCCGATCCTGTTAGTCGCCTCTAACCACAAACATAGTCGCCTTTTACGACAAGCATGGGTTGCTGAAGACATATTCTACCTCGGATCTTCACGAGTCTGATCACAAGTAGTTGGATGTGAAAATGGTTTGATACAACGTACACGTTACTCGTAGCATGACTTATAACAGTGACGACCCGTGAAGATCCAGGGTAGAAAAGGTCTTCAGCAATCAATGCTTGCCGTCACAGGCGACTATGCCTGTCGTTAGAGGCGACTGTCGAGATCAGGTGGTCAGGCTCGCTGACTTGGCTGATGCATGTCATCGTATCCCAACTGCGATCGATGCTTATGATATCAATCACTGGATTGTCTGGCCCAAACTCGATTATTTATAGACCGCCGTCATACAGCTATAATATTGCTGAGTGCGTCGTTAAACAACAAACAAACAAACAATATAACGCTGACGGTGAATCAATGTCACATTTGGAGGTGATGATGACATTTGATTCCCATATGAATAAAGATGCATTTCTGTGGTGATGTGATCAGATCAAATCTCCCCTTACAATCAGACCCCACCCTCCTACCCGTTATATCGAACTGTAATCAACACTCACACAATCAGCCACTCGATTTGTTGTGTCAATCAAACAGCCATCCTGCTGTCTTTTAAACATCTTACTGAGGCAAGGGAGTTAACTGACTATTAAAGTGGCGCCACCAGTGGCTATTACGAGTTATGTCCCTTCTTTGTCCCTCCTGCTGACCAATCATATTCCACCTCTCATATCACTTGCTTTTGCTTCAAACAAAATGCCGGCGCCTAGTGTTAAGACTTACTGATCGATAATCAAGATCTATATTGTAATCTAACGGGTCTTACTTCGCGAAGTGCATCAAATCACGTGAGCACCTTGGGTGAGTGAGTTTGGTTTAACGCCGCTTTTAACATTATTCCAGTTATATCACGGCGTGTCAGCTTGATGTGGGAGGAAAGTCCGAAGTTGTGCGGGTCTCAGAGCACCTTGGTTATAAACATGAAAAGATTTGGAAAATATCGGTTGACGCTGAGTTTGCGGTACACGTGCTTTGCCAATCCTGAAATGGAACTTAATCTGCACAGCAGTTTACGAACCTGATGTCGATTTCATTATGGGTTTTTGATTGGACAATGCATAGACTCGTTAGTCCAGACAAATTT